AAAAGATGGTTGAGAACAAAGTAGTACCTGAAGAACTAATCTCAGGCTGCTGAACCATGTACTAGACAGGAAAGGATTGAGGGACAGGAACCTTGAAATTACCGCCTATTTGGTGCAAAGGTGGAACTCCCATCAAACCACTTTTGCTTTCATTTAGCTACAGAAGGCATCTTCACATGTGCAGGACTAAACCCATATGCATGATGCAGAGATCACAAAGAAAATGTTCTCAGCCTTGTCTACAGATGCACTCTCACCAAGAGATCATTTAGATAAGGATAAATATGCAACCGCTGGAGGCAGAAGTGGACAACTGTTGCCACAATGAGCTTGGCAAACACTGTGAAGCTGAGATAAAGTCAAAAGGCCTCACTCTGCTCTTGGTTGTAGGAAAAGTGAAGGAATACTCTGCATTGAGGATCAAACATGAATGTAGATCCACCAAGGCAAGGAAATTACTCAAGAGCTTCCTGGATGTTGCACAAGGTCTCCTCTGAAATGACAGGTTACCTACCTGTAATTGTAGTTCTTTGAGTGGACCTCTGTGATTCACACTATAGGTGATCTGCGCATGCGCAGAGACTCATTGGAATATTCTAGAGCTTCTGCAGTAGCAAAAAAGATACATTAGTGCAGACCCCTCCCCCCTGGTATATGTACATTGGCACCAAGGCTCTCTCTTCAGTTAAGTCAAGTGCCGCTTAAAAGGAAGGGCATGACAGTGGGAGGCTGGGTTGGGATGTGTGAATCACAGAGGACCACTTGAAGAGCTACAATTACAAGTAGGTAACCTGTCCTTTTTCGTGGCCTCTGTGAATCATATGAGTGACTAACAAGCTACCTTACCTGGAGGAGGATGTCACACCAAGGTAGATAATACAGCATGTACAAAAGCAGCATCAGATTTCTGCCGAACATCCAATTGATAGTGATTGATAAATGTGGATGGCTGTGACCATGTGGCAGAGGCGAAGATGTCAGTGAGGGGGATCCGTCAAAGAAACGCTGTGGATGTAGCCAACACCCCAGTGGAATGAGGGTGGATATTCTGTGGTGCTAGAACTCAAGCAAGCTAATAATCAAGCTGGATGGCAGATGCAACCCACTTGGATATTCACTGTGAGGTAACTTGGAGACCTTTGGCAGAAAGTTGGTAGCTAACGAAGAGTCTAGCTGAATGTCTAAAGGATTGAGTGCAGGCTATGTAGAAGTCCAGAGCCCATCTAACATCCAATGTATGTAGAATCCTTTCTTGAGGATTAGATGGAGAAGGAGGACAGAAGAACATAGGGTTGGGATGGGTGAAACTGGGAGACAACCTCGGGCAGGAAGGAAATATCTACAAAGAGTTTGACTTTTTCAGGGTAAAACTGAAGATAAGGGTAGTCAGACCTTAAGGCTGCCAGTTCACTAGCATGTTGTACTGAAGTGATTGCTACAAGGAATGCTGTCTTAAAGGTAAGTAGAGTCTGAGGTCAGTTGATGGAAGTGGCTGAAATAGGCCCCTTGTAAGGCGTCAGAGGTCTAATGCCAATAACCATTGAGGTGATGGAGGACATATGTCAGGATACATGTGTGAGTCCCTGGAGGAAACGTTACAGAGAAGGGTGCCTGAAAAACTTAGCTGCCGGAGAGGTTGGTGGTTGATAGGCCACAATTGCCGAAAGATAAACTTTGAGTGATGAAAGAGAAAGGCCCTTAGTTTTTAATTGTAATAGAAAATGAAGAACAGTGGTAAGGGAAGGGTTGATTTGAGGATAGCGATGACACTGTAGTGAATGATTGGAATGTTTTCTATATATACATGTAGGCCTTTCTAATCAAGGGTTTCTTTGCATGATTAAGGACATTCATCAGGGAAGCAGAATCCTCCACACTGTGTCATGAAGGGCAGGGAGATCTGGGTGGAGAACTTGATTTTTATCTTGTGTAAGCAGGTGAGGCTAGCAGGTGAGAATGGCATCTCTGGTAACCTGGATTTGAGGACGGAGTTGTTAAAAAAGGTAGTCCTATTGTCAGGTTTTGTGTAGAGCGCCACCATGAAAGCTGGGAGGTGAGTTCTGGAGTGACTCGAAATAGAGGATGAAGTGACCTCATTTTGAGGTGGACATGGTGGACCACAAAGGTCATTGAGGCCATTGTGCCTAACACATTTCGGACCATTAACACAGAGACAAGTGTGTGAGGAGTGAAGGCATGGAGCAAAGAAATTAAATTGAAACGTTTGTATGTTGGGAGAAATGCTCAAGCATGTTTGGAGTTTATAATTGCTCCTATATAATGGATCAGCCTTGTAGGCGTTAACGTAGATTTTTGCAGATTCACTGCGAGGCCAAGATCTTGGAGGGGAGACAAAGTGATGTTGCACTGTACTTTGCGACAGGCGTGAGCTACAGGAAGCCAGTCGACGGTGTACGGAAAGATATGGGTTTTGTGAAGCTTAAGGTATGCTGCCACGGGGGCCATGCATTTGGTGAATACTCGGGGAGCTATCGTGAGCCCAAACAGGAGTACTTTGAATTGGTAAGCCTGGGTTCCGAGTTGGAAGCGCAGGTAAGGCCTGTGAGATGGATAGAGACGTGGAAGTAGGCGTCTCCGAGGTCTATAACTGTCAAGCAGTCTTTTTTTCAGAATGGTGGGAGGACAGACTTGAGGGTAGCCATGCGGAATTTGGTGGTAGTGATATATTGGCTTAGTTCTCTGAGATCAAGGATGGGACGGAGGCCTCTGCCGTTTTTGGGGATGGTGAAATAATGAGAGAGAAAACCTCTGGCTGAATGGTATAGTGGTATTGGTTCTATGGCATCTTCGAATAACAACTGTATTTCGTCTTGTAGGGTTTGAAATGGAGGTGTGACAGTGTGTGATGGTGGAGGAAGCTGGTGGAATTCTATGTGGTACCCATGTTGTATGATGGAGAGGACCCAGACATCTGTGGTGATGCCATTCCATGCAGGTAAGTGTTTCCAGAGTACAGAAGGAGATGTGAGAGGTTGGGATCTTGGCCAATTGGACATCAAACCTGATATTTAGGTTTGTGGTCACTGCATCCAGTTGTGGTTCGCTGCCAAGGTTTGGCTCCGTAAGGTTGTTGTTTACAGTAAGGTGTGTAAGATGTTTGCCTCTGAGGTTCATGTTGGAACCTTTGATAAGAGGTGTAAGGGCGGTGCCACTGAGTGCGCCGCGGGTGTTGTTGGTATGTGGAGTACACACCCCAACGCCTGGCAGCTGTTCTCTTTTTCTGGACATTCTCGAGAATGTCATCTGTCTCGGCACTGAAGAGGCCAACTCCATCAAAGGGAAGGTCTTCGATGCCTGCCTGGGCATCATCTGCAAGTCGAGCAGTTCTAAGCCAGGAGAACTAGCAAAGTGCTACAGAAGTAGCCATGGATTTTGATGTGGCATTGACAATGTGTCTAGCAGCCGGCATCTGTTGTTTAGTTACCAAAAAACCTTTTTGTTGGAAGGTTTGAGCTAAGACCCTCTTGTCTTCAGAAAGTGCATCAATAAAGGTAGACATATTGTCCCAGAGAACACGTAGGCACCCATAGCTCCTTGATAGTTGGCAACCCTAACAGTTTTGCCACCTCAGAAACTGCTTTATCCATGGCTTTAACGAGGGTTGTGGATTTACATGAAGGTTGGGTCATGGGCTTAGCAGGCTAGAGAGACTGCTCCCAAAGCCTAAGTTTGAGCCTAGAAAGGTAACTGCGGAGAACTCCGCACTTGAGGTTTTTGCAGTGAGGGCAGGAAGAGGTTTGATGGGCCTCACCAAGGCAAAACAGGCACTTAGCGTGGCCACCGGAGAGCGGGATTTTGTTATTGTAGAGCATGCAATGTCTGAACATGCCTGAAGAGGCCATGAACCAAAAACGGAGATGGGGGGGGGGCTTTCAGCCCAAAGGCTAGATCTGTATTTTAAAGAAAATAAAGATGGTATAAGAAAGGTTTTGAAATAATAAAGGGTAATTAATTTTCTTTCTTTTGTTTTTTAGAAAACCTCACAAAAGCTACGATCGAGGCTCTCAAGGTGGCGGTTGAAAAGAAAGTGAAGGGAGAGCCTTGGTGCCAAGGTACATATACAAGGGGGGAGGGGTCTGCACTAATGTATCTTTTTGCTATAGCAGAAGCTCTAGAATATTCCAGCAAGGCTCCATACATACGCGTATCACCCATAGTGTGATTCACAGAGACCACAAAGAAGAAGTGTCTATAGGAAACAATATAGTTCAGATACTTTAGGCCCAGAAAAAATCTCCAGGTGTCGCCTATGCACCAATAAAAGGAAGAAATAAAGTCTAGATGCCTACTCATTGGGTGGGGCTAGCTAAACTGCCCCTATATGGAGAAGATGGTGGACTGCCTGAACTACAAGAACCTGCTTCTGGCAGAAGCATATACTTTGCAAAATGTCCCCAATTCAGAGGAAGGGGGTGTGAGCAAACAGAGCTGACTGAAACTGCTCTTACTTATGAAGCAGAAAAATAATTTGCTTTACAGAGAAACATTTCAGTCCTTCTATCATCTGGATCTTGGAATGAAAAATCCTGTCTTCAGGGGTAAGTCTCTCACAAAAGCATTAACTAAGCGAGTATATTTAACACCTCTACTGCTTGGTGAGACAAGATGTAGAACTTACAAACCACACTAGTAATAGTGTGCTCTTTGTGTACATGTGTGGGAGTGTTACACGGCTAAATCAAGCCTTAGTGATTTAAATTGTGATTTCAATCAATTTAAATCAAAACACTCTAGGGAGAAGGAAGCAACATAAACAGTGCAATGCACTTTGAGCAGGGCTGGCCACAAAACATGGGCTTCAAGCTGTGGATACTAATGGATACTGCTAATACAAGATTCAAATGTATGAGATAAATAAATAGACATTCTTAGCAGAATAGTATGCTAAGCCTGGGACAGAACAATTAAAAACAAAAAAATGAACACTGCTTAAGGGGCACAGGGCAACACTTCAATTTAAAAATATGACAAGATTTCACCTGCACCAGTTTTCGAATCAGGACTTGGAAACTGTATCACTTTTTGAATTTTGCGCATTGGTTTAGTTGTTCTTCTCTCTTTCCTTTTTTCAGCAGGTGTCCGTTTCACAACCAAATCTTCTTCTGAAAATCAGAGAGGAAGAACTATTAACACAAGTGGAAGAATAAACAAATGATTTATCACCTATAGCAACATAGCAGTATACCTTTCTAAACACTGAATGTGTTTCGCTTATTCAGAAAGTTAATATACAATACCAGAATTCATGGGTATGAGAAGCTGGTGAATGTTATTTCTTTTTAAGTCTGTACAGAGTCTGTAAACAGAACACTGGTCCTTTAACATCGTAGTTGCTTTCAAATTGACAAATGAGATATCCAGAAGAAATTAACTCTCCCCACGACCTAGGAAAGGCTCATGTAACCAACAACTTTGCCTTATTGTTGTGACATTTTGCTCCTTCAATTCTGTCTGTGGTTAAGCTTGAGGTGGAAAGCTACACTGAGTAGATCATGAGAAACAAGTAGGTGTGTAGACAAACCAAGGAAAATACACTCCAATCCACCAACAGAACATGTCTAAACTGGATAGCGTATTAACTACTTAGAACCTAGTAATTAAATTATAATCTTGATGGCAACTAGATGGCAAACTAGAAAGGAACCTCACAAGGCATTATCATTGTTCCATTCCCAGGCTGGTGAGAGAATGAATCCACAAGCAAATCAGAGGCACAGAATAGGATTTATGGCAGAGAGAATTTGTTGCAGTACCATTTCCCCCAAAACTGTTCTGCAATGTTTATTCTGCAGCACACAATAAATATTGGAAGTGTTGTTTAGTCGTGTCTGACTCATGACCGCATGGACCAGAGCATGCCAGGCCCTCCTGTCTTCCACTGAAGAGGCATCTTCAATGAGATGTCTTATTTCTATCATAACTAAGGCACAGCTCATAAAAGAGCTTTGTCTTGGTCCTGCAAGAGCTCTTTATTCCTCCAGGTCCATCCTTGGTTTCCATAGTCTATACAGGTCTCGAGGGCCTGTATTGTGTGTTGGGCTCACGAGACAGGTTAGGGATTCTGTTGGTGTACCGCCCACCCTGCTGCGTACCAACAGTCTCCCTGCCTGAGCTGACGGAGGTAGTCTCGGACCTGGTGTTGAGGACTCCCAGGCTGTTGGTGCTGGGGGACCTCAACATTCATGCCGAGGCTCCCTTGACTAGAGTGGTTCAGGACTTCATGGCCACCATGACAACCATGGGGCTGTCTCAATGTGTCATCGGTCCAACGCATGAGAAGGGCCATACCTTGGACCTGGTTTTCTCAACGGGACTGGAAGATGGTGGTTTGGATGTGGAGGGGTTGGTTGTGACCCCATTGTCATGGTCAGACCACTTCCT